TACAATTTGAGGTCAAAGATATATAGGACACGTACATGTTACAGGCTAACTCAAAGTTCATGGAAACAATAAGGGGTCAAAGATATGTCACAGATCAGTGTACACTGATTTCAAGGTAATGCTACCTGTTTTTCTGTTTCCAGGGTAACCCGGTTGGACAGACTGGACTAGGAGTGATGTACATGTATGGCAAAGGTGTAGAACAGGTAAGTCAATCGTTTGTATAAGTAGTTTGAAAACAGATGTAAAAATCCTAAAATTTTACAGAAAAAGCATCATGAAAAAATGAACTTTGAAAGTAATGTAAGACCTCAATACAAAAATCAGGAAGCAAAAATGATGTTATGTTAGAGGTAGTACAGCCATAGATATGTAGGCTTTTCTAGGTCCTTTAAAAGAAACCACAGGATCTGCAATAGACTAGTAGCCTTTCCTAGGTCTTCTGTGAGATACATAGATGTACTTCACGATTGGCCATAAATTAATAGGCTTTCCTGTGTTCTTTGAGAGGAATGTTAGGCTTTCAAAAGTCCTCTTAATTTGATAGGGGTACAAATCCCTGTACAGTACATTAATGAACATCTCCCCTTAATTTTACTGACTAAGAGACATTCTGTTGATGTTGTGACAATGTTTTGTAGGATTATATTAAGGCGTTCCAGTACTTCACACAAGCTGCTGAGCAGGGCTGGATGGAGTCCCAACTACAACTTGGACTCATGCACTTCAGTAAGTGCCTCTTATCCTACTACAGTACATCTATGGACAAACTTTGAATCAGCTATATATGGTGTATTGTGATGATTTGAGATTTGTTTTGAGGTGATACAGATTACCGTTGTAATCATCACAAGGTTAAAGGTGTTATGGCATACACAATAATACCTCTGCGGATTAAATGATAGTTTCTATAGGCTAGATTTAATATTTATGGACTGATTGTCGCCAATTTTGCCATAAGGTGCGTTTGGGTTTATACAAACTGCTTGTGAAGTTAACACTGAACATCTTACTTCCGCTAGCGGTATAACACTCCCACTGAACTGCATTGGTTATTGTCTGATATGAGAGTGCACACAAACCTACCATTGTTTCCTTATTGTTGCCCAATGATCAAATATGAAGTCATTGCATTCTTTCTGGCTGGAATTAAAGCAGTTTTAGTGTGTAGAGTATGATTTATGTCTTACTCCATGTGTTTACTTTTTGTGTTATGTCTTTGTTTATAGGTGGGAAAAGGGTCGAAGACTGGTGACTATTAGTTTGTAAATGTGTTACACTTTCTGTTTACAGGTGGAAAAGGGGTGAGGAGAGACTACAAGCTGGCTGTGAAATACTTCAACCTTGCCTCACAAGGCGGCCATGTCTTAGCCTTCTTCAACCTGGCTCAGATGCATGCTACAGGCACAGGTGTGCTGAGGAATTGTCACACGGCAGTGGAGGTAGGTTCTGTCTCTATAGCAATAGTTGAAAATAAGAAAGCTGTAAGATCTGTTTGATATCTGATTTATGAAACCTGTACTTTAACATCATCAATATGGTTTCTAATTGCAGTTGTTTAAGAACGTGGCTGAGCGGGGTCGTTGGGCGGAGATGCTTTCGGAGGCCCATAGTCTGTATAAGGAGGGTAATCTGTTTCATTCGCTTATCAAGTACACTTTCCTAGCTGAGCTTGGCTACGAGGTTGCCCAGTCCAACGTCGCTTTCATACTTGACCAAGGTAACCCTACTTATTATTTTTTAGTGTCACAGTGCTGGCAGCAGTTGTGATGTTTTGTTATTGATATAAATTCTTCTCTGGATTTTGATGTTTATTGTGTTCTGTGCCTTCCTAAAGTGTGAATATCTATTACGATTTATTACTCTTACATTCATAGAAATGGAAGTCTTTTAAACAATGAACTTTAAGGCAGCAGGAAGATTTCATAGATTTGAAATCAGACATTACATGTTCAATGACATGCTTGAATGTCCTTGTAGGTGAGATTGGTGATTTCCACGAAACAGAGATCTTTGAGCGTGCATTATTGCAGTGGGCACGTGCAGCTGCGCAGGGGTCAACGTCGGCGCGTGTGAAGATGGGTGACTACCACTACTACGGCCAGGGGACTAAGATAGACTACGAGACAGCTGCCTCCCACTACCGTTTGGCCTCAGAGCAGCAGCATAATGCTCAGGCCATGTTCAACCTAGGATACATGCATGAGAAGGGCCTGGGTCTCAAACAGGTACAGCTATTTCTCCATTGTTATCTTTACCTTTGTCATGATGAACATCTGCTTGAGAGATGTAGGGAAGTTTTTTTACTATGGAAGCAGCAGTCCAGCAGTAAAGGGACGTAATGAGATGATGTCTGATTATCTCTTGTTTTATGTAAGCTCTTTTGTAGAGGAAATCATAAAGTTGTAGAATAGCTGTATAAACAAGTTTGTCTAAACTTCCGTTCAAAAGGGCTGTGCACCCTTCAAAAACAGATTATTTGTGTGCTTTACTAAAAGATCAATGTTTCTGTTTTTCAGGATGTTCACCTGGCCAAGCGTTTCTATGACATGGCGGCAGAAACCAGTATAGATGCACAAGTACCTGTCATGCTGGCCCTTGCCAAGCTTGGTGTATTTTATGGGGTTGACATCTTCAACAAAGAGGTAAGTCTCTGGGTTTTATGGCTACATTGGGAGTGGGATTAAGTGTTGGGGATACATTGGTAAATGTTGTTATTTTGTAACAGACACTGGTATTGTGTGTCCACCTTTAATTACTGAACAATCACATGACTAGAAATACATGTAATTATTGAACAACCACATGGTATTTGAAAATTATATGACATGTCCTATGTTTTATACAGATGGAGGATTATAACCAACTGTTGCTGAAATTTGACCCACGTTTCTACCTCGGACCAGACTGGGATATCTATGTGATGACATTCCTTGCCCTTCTCCTAGGTTTCATTGTACTTCTGCGAAGGATCCGGTAGCCCCCCAGCACACTCATATTCAGATTAAAACAGTTTAAGTGGTGCTACTACACAATATCAACAATGGCTTTATCACCTAGAGAGATAAAAGGATAAAGAGGAGAGTCAACATTTCTTCTTATATATGGCACAAATTAAATGATGAAAAACATTCTATGCTTCTACACCAACTCATGATCTGAGGTCATTGCTGATCTGACTGGGTCAACAGTGCTACAGTACTAGTCCTCAATCTACAGGTTATGCCATCACTTGTCTGGAAACAAAATGTCATCAAACTCTACAGTGCTTAGTGTACAGTTAATGGATTGACACTCGGTGAATGTCCAGATACATTACAAGGAATAAATATGGAGAGATCTGACATCAGTACAGGTCTCATGAAAACCATTTTTTT